ACATATTTCTCTCTTGGGTGTGTTTCTCTGGCCCATGTGCTGAGAGCAACCTGAAAAGCTGCTAATTTTGAGTGGCTCTCACAAGAGAAGGCTCTGCAACCCAGGCACAAGTTGCTGTGCCAGCTGCACTGCCACTTGTGTCATATCATCCAAGGAACTTGAAGCATCAGTGGCAGATAGAGATGCACTTTGGAGACTGTGGCAGGCCCTATAGATGAATCACAGTGCAGGCACTTAGGTTTTTGGAGCAAAGCAATGCCACCCTCTGTGAATAACTCCTCCTCCTTTGAGAAACAACTCTCAGTCTGCTTCTGGGCCTTAGTAGAGATGGAATGCTTAATCATGGGGCATCAAGTTGCCATGTGACCCAAGCTGTCTATTATGAACTGGGTGTTATCTGGCACACCAAGCCATCAAGTTGAGTGTGTACAGCACACTCCACCATCACACTGAAATGGTATATATGAGATTGGACTAGACCTGAGCAGGCCTTGAAGACACAAATAAGTTACACAAAGAAGTGGTCCAATGCCCGTGGCCCCCACTCCTGTTACATTACCTTCTTTCTCCCAAACTGCACTTGTAGCCTCATGGGGAGTTCCCTATGACCAATTGATAGAGGAAGAGAAGACTCCGATGGTTCTGGGCAATATGCAGGCACCAACTGAAAGTGGACAACTGCAGCCCTACAGCCCCTTTCTGAGACATTCCTGAAGGACAATGGAGAAAGGAAATTCTCTCAGTGGTCAGGACTTCAAGCAGTCTACCTGGTTATTTACTTTGCTTGGAAGAAGAAATAGCCAGATGTGCAATTATTAATATATACCAATTCATGAGCGGTAGCCAGTGGTCTGGCTGGATGGTCAGGGACTTGGAAGAAACATGATTGGAAAATTGGTGATAAGGAAATTTCGGGAAGAGGCATGCAGATAGATCCCTCTGAATGAACAAAAAACATGAAGATATTTGTGTCCCATGTGAATGCTCATCAAAGGGTGACCTCAGCAGAGGAAGAGTTAATAATCAAGTGGGTAGGATGATTCTATAGATACCAGTGAGTCTCTTTTCCCAGCAACCTGGTTATTAACCAGTGGGCTCATGAACAATGTGATTGTCATAGCAGGAATGCAGACTGTGTGTAAGGTCAGCTATATGGACTTCCACTCACCTGCCTACAGCCACTGCCCACTGCTGACATTTGGCTAGACATTATTAGCAGCAGCAGAGACCAACCCTGAACCCCCAATAGGGCACCTTTCCCTGAGTGATCTGATCATCACCTGGTGGCAAGTTGATTATATTGAACCATCACGAAAGGGGCAGTGTCTTTGTTCTTACTGGAGTAAACCTTACCCTGGATACAGATTTGCCTTCCATGCACGTACTGCTTCTGACAAGATGACCATTCATGGACTTACAGGATACCTTATTCACTACCATGGCATGCCACACAGCATCGCTTCTGACTGAGGAACCCACTTCACAGTCAAACAAGTGCAGCAATGCTCGGGGAATTCACTGGTCTTATCATTTTCTTCACTACCCTGAAGCAGCTGGCTTGATAGAATGGTGGAATGGCCTTTTGAAGACTAATTGCAATGCAAGCTAGGTGTCAGTACCTTGCAGGACTAGATCAAGATTCTCCAGGGCTATGTTGCCCAGGCAGGTCTCAAACTCCTGACCTCAAGTAATCCTTCCACCTCAGCCTCCCAAGTAGCTGAGACTATAGGCACACACTACCACGCCCAGGCTTATATCATAGTATTTAAGTTATGTGATATCAAAGAGAAGAGTAAACATCACTCAAGGACTACCTCCTCTTCTGTGGAGTTAGTTCGTGTGTTTTAGTTGTAAATAGTATAAATGTTTTGTGTTAGGTGGAATTATAACCTTGTTATTGTCTTTATTTGGAGATTAAGGATGATTTTGGAAGATGTTTATGAGTGTTGATGTTTATAGTGGGATCCCATCTCAAAAAAAAATATGATGTAAAGTCAATACATCTTTTGTTACATGATAAGAGAATGAGAGAAAAGAAAACAAAGATATGACTGAGATATGACTTAATATGTAATTAGTTGACAAGGGGTGGACTTGTAATGGTTAATTTTTTTTGTTTGTTTTTTTTGAGTTGGAGTCTCACTCTGTCACCCAGACTGGAGTGCAGTGGCCGCTCACGGCCACCACAGCCTCGACCTGCTGGGCTCCGGCGATCCGACCGCCTCAGCCTTCCAAGTAGCCGGAATTACAGGCATGCGCTACCACGCCTCGCTGACTTTTTGATTTATTGTAGAGATGAGGTCTCGCTGCCCAGGCGAGTCTCGAACCCACGGGCTCAGGCAATCCACTCACCTCAGCCTCCCAAAGGCACGGGATTACAGGCTGAGCCACCGAGCCCGGCTGTAATGGTTAAATTTATGTGTCAACTTGACTGAGCCACAGGTTGCCCAGACATTTGGCTAGACATTATTCTGGGTGTTTCTGTGAGATCGTTTCTGGATGAGATTAACATTTGAATCAGTAGACTTGAGTAAAGCCAGTTGCCCTCCCTAATGTGAGTGGGCCTCATCCAATCAACAGAAGATCTGGATACAGCAAAGAGGCTAAGTAATAGGAAAACCCTTCTCCCTGACTGCTTGAGCTGCCACATTGGTCATTGCCCAGCTTCAGGCTCAGACGGAAGCACCAGCTCTTATTGGGACTTGAGCCTACTGGTTTCCAGACTGGAACTCACAACATCGGCTCTCCTAGTTCTCAGGACCTCAGACTCAGACTGGAACTATGTATCAGCACTCCTAGGTCTCCAGCTTGCTGACTGCAGATCTGGGGACTTCTCAGCCTCCATAATCACATAAGTCAATTTCTAGAGCGAATGGGAAAAAAAATACACACATACACTTTATTGGTTCTATTTCTCTAGAGAAACCAGACAGATACAAAGACTTTTTATCTAAACCATGTGTCACAAACTCAAATGCCTATATTTGAAAGGGTCAGAGACAATATAAAATTAAAAGGAGACTTTAGACTCCTAAACTTGTACAAACAGGAAATAGTCTGAGAAAACAACTCAGCTGCAAACACAGGCTACCTTTCATGAAAAAAGGAAGAATGACTCAGAGGGCGGAACCAAGACCCATGGAGAATCTTTTATTTTTTTCTGTTTTTTTTGGGTTTTTTTGAGTGGGAGTCTCACTCAGTCACCCAGGCTGGAGTGAAGTGGCACGCTCATGGCCACCACAGCCTCGACTTGCTGGGCTCAGGTGATCCTTCTACCTCAGCCTTCAAGTAGCTGGAACTACAGGCATGCACCACCACACCCGGCTAAGTTTTTGATTTATTATAGAGATGAGGTCTCACCAAAATGTCCAGGCTGGTCTTGAACCTGTAGGCTTAAGCAATCCCCTCACCTTGGCCTCCCAAAGTGCTGGGATTATAGGCATGAGCCACTGCGCCTGACCGGAGAATCATTCTTAATTTGGCAGCACATAAATTTGTGAGCAGTTGTTTTCAATTAGACTGAAGACATGAAGAGCAAAATTCGAACAAACGTTTCTGAGAAGTACCTTGAGAACTCACTAGGAATTGTGACCACTTCCATTGAACCAGACTTTGATAGATTGGTTTTTTTATAAAACAAGGTCAAATTTCCCATTAGTTTTATATTATTCTCATTTTTCCAAACTTTATAATAAAAATATGAAATAATAAAAGAAACATTTTATGTATATACACTAAGTATATTACATACCTTTTTTTTTTTTTTTTAACTTAGAGGCTTACTCTCGCCCAGGCTAGAGTGCAGTGGCATGATTATGGCTACTGCAGCCTCAACCTGCTGAGCTCAGGCAATCCTTTTGCCTCGGCCTTCCAAGTAGATGGAACTACAGACCTGCACCACCACACCCAGATAGTTTTTTTAATTTTATTGTAGAGTTGAGGTCTTGCTATATTGCCCAGGCTGGTCTCGAATTCCTGGACTCAGGCAATCCTCTTACCTCGTCCTCCCAAAGTGCTGGGATTACAGGCATGATCCACTATGCCCCGCAATATTATATAATTTATGTGTGGCCCAAGACAATTACTTTTTACTCAATGTGGCCCAGGGAAGACAAAAGGTTGGGCACCCTGATACAATGGGATGAGACTTTTGAGGGCCTTGGAGAAGGGTGAGAGTGCTTTGTATGTAGGAAAGATATAAATCATTGGGGTCAAAAAGGCAGATTATGTTAGCCAGCCTCCAAAATGTTCTCTAATAATTTGTTTTTTGAGTTGGAGTCTCACTCTGTCACCCAGACTGGAGTGTAGTAGTACGCTCATAGCCCCAGCAGCCTTGATCTGCTGGGCCCAGGCTATCCTTCTGCCTCAGCCTTACAAGTAACTGGAACTACAAACATGCGCCACCATGCCCAGCTAATTTTTTTTGGATTTATTGTAGACATGAGGTCTTGCCAAGTCGCCCAGGCTGGTCTCAAACCCCTGGACTCAGGCAATCCTCTCACCTCAGCCTCCCAAGTACTGGGATTATAGCTATGCATGAGCCACTGCACCTGGTCTCTAGTAATTTTTACTTCTTGCTGTTCACACTACTTACAGACTGTAGTTTCTCAAACTAGATCATAAGAAATATTGTGGCAGTCAGGCTCGGTGGCTCAGCCTGTAATCCCGCACCTTTGGGAGGCTGAGGTGAGTGGATTGCCTGAACCCGAGGGTTCGAGACCCGCCTGGCAGACGAGACCTCATCTCTACAATAAATAAAAAAATTAGCCGGGCGTGGTCGCGTGCGCCTGTAATTCCGGCTACTCAGAAGGCTGAGGCGGAAGGATCGCCGGAGCCCAGCAGGTCGAGGCTGCGGTGGCCGTGAACGGCCACTGCACTCCAGTCTGGGCAACAGAGTGAGACTCCAACTCAAAAAAAAAGAAGTATTGTGGCTTTCTCGCTACCTAGTCATCTTGGCAGCTGCTCTTGGTTGGAGGCCGTCCTGCAACTAAGGCAGGAAGATGGTGGCTACAAAGAAGATGAAGAACTCGCTGGAATCTATCACCTCAGGGCTCCAACTCATTATGAAAAGTGGAAAGTATGTGCTGGGGAACAAGCAGACTCTGAAGATGGTCCGACAAGTCAAAGTGAAATTGGTCATCCTCACCAACAACTACCCAGCTTTGAGGAAATCTGAAACAGAGTTCTATGCTATGTTGGCCAAAACCGGTGTCCATCACTACAGTGGCAATAATATTGAGTTGGGTACAGTATGTGAAAAATACTACAGAGTATGCACACTGACTATCACTGATCTAGGTGATTCTGATATCACTAGAAGCATGCCAGAGCAGACTGGTGTAAAGTAACTATGCAAAATTGGTCTTTAAAAAGACTTGGCAGAACTTGTTTGTTTATTTTTTTATTTTTTTTAAAGAAGTATTGTGACTTCTGCTCACTGTCTCTTTTATCACTCATACTTGGGGAAGCCAGCTGCCACTTCATGAAAACAGATGCACATGATGAGGAACTGAGACCTCCTGCCGACAGCCAAACTTCCTGTCAAGACTTCAGTTGATCACAGTCCTGGCTGATGTCTTGACTACAACCTTGAGCCACAACCACCTACTTAAGCCACTTCCAAATCTGTGACCCAAAAACTATGTAAGACAAACAATGGCCATTGTGTTAAGCCACTAAGCCTTGGGATAATTTCTAATGCAGAAATAGATAATATTCTTATCTGGATAAACTGGCATGCACCTGTAGTCCCAGTTACTTGGAAGGCTAAAGCAGGAGGAACCCTTGAGTCCAGGAGTTCGAGGCTGCAGTGAGCCATGATCACGCCTGTGAATAGCCACTGCACTCCAGGCTGGGTAGTATAGCAAGACAACATCTCAACCCTTTTTTTTTTTTGAGTTGGAGTCTCACTCTGTCGCCCAGGTTGGAGTGCAGTGGCACACTCATGGCCACCATGACCTCAACCTGCTGGGCTCAGGTGATCTCTTTGCCTCAGCCTTCCAAGGAACTGGAACCACAGGCAGGTACTACCACACCTGCCTAATTTATTTATTTATTTATTTATTGT